GCACCAAAGAACATAGTAAAATAACATGTAAAAAGTAGACAATTTCTCCTTACTATCACAATGTTTCTGGTTTTCTAACTATGTGACAAGTGCCGCTACAAATTCATCGAAGTTAGTTTTTATATTTCTCATTGGAATGAAGCTTGTACTAACAGTGAAATTGTCAATTCTTCATTCAGAAAACAATTAAATATAATACATCATTTGATAGATGAAAACTGTGGCTTTCCATTGGTTATAGATAATATAGAATTAAACGTAAGAGAGAACTATTAACAAATCCTGAAAGTGAGGATGTGACAGGTGGGTGTGGCAAGAAGGGTCTAATTTTCTATTTGATGGCTCTGTAACCAAACTAAATTGAAGGCTACAAAAATTATGGTTTGTCTGAGCATTGACAATTTTATAGTGAATAACTTACGTTAAACTTCTTACTTATTGGAGGGATGGTGAATAAAATAGAGAAGAGGGGATACCTAGAGAAAATATGTCACATTTCTCACACCAGAGGAAATTAGGGATTTGTTTAAACATTGCCTTTTAAAATTAGAAACTTAAAACTTCTATACTATTAATATATGGATTATTAGCTATGATTTTATGCTACATTAATTGGTATAACATAAAAAGTAGTTTAAAAAAATTTTGATTATAAGTCACTAAAACCTCGTGACAGTAAATGATGCCTGGGCAGAAAGGGTTAATTAAAGAATTGCTTGTGCATTTATTTTTTTCAAATCTTAACTATCCCACATGCAAAATAGTTTTTATTTTAAAAGTAAAATTAGCTTTATGTATCAGAAGATTATCATATTTCTCTTGCAAAACCCCAATAATCTCTTAATAAAATCCAGATATAAATATCAAACATTTTTTTTTTTAGAAAAACTTTATATTTTATCTGTTATTTTCTCTATCTTATCTCTGTACAGATTTGGTCAAATTGACTGACCTCATAACCACCATAGAAAATTGGGAAGTAAGATTTAAGTTACACTTTTTTCCTTCTAGAATGGCTACAGATTTTAACACAAAACTAAAATTATTTATTCTAAATAGCTTAATTCTCCTAACATGTGCAACTCATCTTACCATAACCAATAGCATAAAACTGGCCTTTACAATGTGTAACTGTTTTAGCTTTGTTCTAGTGGACCAGTATTTTACAAAATAAAATCACATTTCAGTTATAATAAATTACATATGTATGTATATATATATATATATATATATATATATATATTTATTTATTACTTATTACTAAATAAATTACTTAACAGACTAATTTACCGTATAAAGAACAACCAAAGAAGTTACTAAATACACTAACTTACCTACTAACCTGCTACAAACAAAAATAGTTTATTTACTTAACTACC